CTTCAAATGCAAGGTGAAGAATTGTATACATGTGGGGGAAAATGGGTGTTTTATATTACCAGTTGGAAATTATTCAGTCTCCACTTACAAATTAAATGTTTTCACAGAGACATTTTCTCCTGAGTGTGCTGAGATCTGAAAAAATGTTTTTTGTGTTCATATCCTGGTAGTGATATTTTGGCTCCTCATCTTCCTAAGCCTTTTTCTTTCTTTTTATAAGTTAATGTCTTACCTTCATTGTACTTCTTTTTCCCCCTGAATTTGCCTCCCCTTGTGTAATTCCATTTGTGCCCTCAAAAAACCTTGCTTTTTCTAACACTTAGGCAAAAACTACCCTTAAGCATGACACCAGGCTCACCTGTAGGGTTTACTGTGTGTGCAGGGTAGGTTTTCTGCTTCTGGTGCTGGGGCCTTGCACATGCTAGGCAAATGGTCTACTGCTGAGCTGCATCCCCAGGCTCCATATGTGCAGTTTTATAGGCCCTGCAGGCTGTCTTTTCCTTTAAGTCAGCTTTCTTTGGAAAAGAAAGGTGATGCTGGCATACTGGCAGGAGAGTTGGACTCTTTACTACATTCTCAGAAAGCTGGTGGGCAACAGGAGAAAGTGTAAGGAAAGAACAGAATGGAACACAGCGGCGTTTTTCTTTTGGGGATGGGAAAAGTTTGGGTAGGTGCCAGCCATAGAGTCACCTGTCAAATGATTATTCCTTCCTTTATCCCATATCACATAAATAGTCATTTAGAACACATTTAAAATATGTTCAGTTGGCCCAGTGATTTATGGTATCTATAATCCTACATTTTCTATTTCATCCTTGAATTTGGTGGCTTATATATGGTGAAAAAAGGCTCAGGAGGAGCCTTTCTTTTATTAGCTGTCACATGTGTGACATATAGACATTACCACTGTTTCATGCTCCCTTTTTATTTTGTTTTTATCTTTTGGTTGTACAAAATTTGGGCAGAAAGTACCAGATTGCAAGCAGTTCCATTATGTGAGCTTGTACTCTAAAAGTATATTGGAAATATGTAGAAAGGGAAGAGTAAAATTGTAGAGTATGTGACTTTTTTTAGAGATGGCCTGATGAATGAGTTGTGTATAGCCAGTGGAGGGGGAGGGGGTTGCGAGAAGGGTTAGGAACCTCTTGTCTGATAACACCCTCTGATGCTTTCAGATTAGGGGTCTGCTCAGTTACCGTCTTAGGCTTCTACTTCCGATGCTTCATAAAATTAAAGGAAAGACTATATGTAAAGCTTATCCCAACATTGGGCCTATAATATTCCTCTAAGAAAAGATGGGGGCAAAAAGAAACTGTGAAAGGTGTTTGGCAACGAGCAAGAGAAGGCGCTTCCAAATGCTTTGATGGTCAATTAGCCAGAAAATGTGCTAAAGACTGGGTTCTGTGCTGGATTACGGCCCAGGAATGACCCCAAGGTCCTCAGAGTGGCCCTGCCGTTGGAGCACAGAGACGATTATAGACCTTGAAGAGATACCACAAAGGCTTTAATTAAGGGACTTACTCACACCCCACTAAGTTTGGGAAATTAAACTCTTATTTGAGTTTAACCGATGTTTCTTTTGTCTGGGCTTTCACATGTATTTCAACAGAGAACACTATTTTTCCAAAATCTATTTAGTGTATTTTGCACTGGATGCTGTGCTGGGTGCCAGAGAGAATTTAATCAATGCAAGGTGTAGATGTGGACTGAGAGGCGTTTTTCTGGGAAGCCTTTGGACACAGGTTGAAAATTGTATTACTTATACTTCTTAGGCACCAGTAAACCAGGAACTCTGGGTTTAAATCATAAATAATAATAAAAAAAACTAATGTCCTGTATAAAATTTGAATCTTAAGAGTTCCCATTCACAAGGCGATGGTTTTCCTTAAATTGGCAGCGTTATGTCTAGACACTGCATGTTGTTCTTTCTCTAAAGTTTGTTTTTGTTTGTTAATGTGATTAAAAAGTAGTTTGGGGCTACCGTCCAGGTCCCACTTTCCAAAGGCCTCGACCCATACTTAGTTCCATTCAGATGTGACTGCTTGCATTTCTGGACAGACTAATTGAAGACAAGTGGGTCCCAGCTAGAGCATCACGATCGAATGGGTCTGCGTGCTCCTGCACTGCACTGCCCTCCTTTTGCCAGCAGTGGTTGCTGTCACTTTTTGAGCTCTCAGGCTTGGCTGATGTTTGTGGGCTGTGTGTCCTTTGTTTTGTTAGTGAAGCAGTTCTGCCTTCGAAATTTGGTTTGTTCATAAAGGTTGTAAAAGCACTAAAAAAGTGTCTAGTGATTTAAATTTCCTTTCAGTATTTCTAGTTCACCTGTGACACCAGTCAAGTGGTGCCTTTTTAGGTCTGTCTGTAGCTCTTAATTAATTTGAAGGTCCTTTTGTGTACTTCTCAATTTGTGTATGTGGAGGACAAAACCTCAGCCTTGAACACTCAATATGAAAATACTAAGTAAATGTTTAGAAGTGAAAAAATGATTTTGATGTGGTAGCACACGCCTGTAACCCCTGAGGTAGGAGTCGAGGAGGAAGATCACAGAATGGGGCTGGCTTCAAGCACAAGTGCAGGACCCTACCTGAAAAATAAACTAAAATGAAAAATGTCAGTAAAGGTTAAGATCATCAGCACAGGTTAAAGTGTGCAAATGGAGTTTTGCACGGGAGTTCCAGTATTGGACTTCCTCACTACATGGGAGTGAGTTGGGGCAGCTTAGTGTTAGATGACAGGAGAGTGGGCCACTTTAGTGACTGCCCTGTTGGGAGTCAGTGAAGCCTTCTGTCCGAGGAGCAGTTTAGGATACTCTTGTGAGTTGGATGGGTCATGTGCAGGGTGAGAGCCTTTGACATTTCTCTCATTTGTCACAACTCTGATACTTGAGAACGTCTTAAATAAGGCATAACACAAATTTCAATTCTCTTTGCCTTTCTTTAGAAAGAGGGGAAAGAAAACTGTCCTTAGTGATATAAATATTTTTATTTGACCAAATACCTAGCTGTTTAATGAGCTAAAGCAAAATTTGATCCAAACTCCAGAGAGAGGTAAATGAAGAGGAATGTAACCAAATTTTGCTGGAAAACACTGATTCAGAATGTTGTTATGTGAAATAGAAATTCTGATTCCTTATCTCTGAGACTTTATTTTGCTAACTGCCAGAACTTGCACATCTGGCTTAGATTCTAAAATAGTTTGGTTTTATGCTTCAATAAAAACGAATCTGATCAAATTGGAATTGAAAATAGATAAAAGAAGAGGGTTTAGTACAGCAAGGGTATCAGGAGGGTCTCAGACCTTTCCTTTCTGAGCGGCTTTTCTGAATTGGCTGGTGTCTTCTTTGGCTAGTGCATGTTCTCATGGGATCCTGGTGAGAGGTGCTGGTGCTGGGAGGCCGACCTCTTCCTCCACAGCACAGTCCTTCCAGGTCAGTGGGACACAGTGGGCTGTTCACTAGCAACACTTTATGAGCTTCGTTACTCGAAGATTTTTCCTGCCTTTAACTCTCTTTCTCTTTCTTTTTATGTTTGTCTTCATTTTAATAGAATTAAAGTATGCCATCTTTACCAGATTTAGCAATAAGTCCTATCCCAACAAAGCTTTCCATTAGCAGTCCAGTTTGGTTTCTGGATCATCTTACTTGATTTCCTTCCCAAACCTCTCTAGTGTGGATTAGTGCACAGAGCCAGATGCAGCATAGTTCAATGGAGTTCTCAGTTTGGCAGTGAAGCAGAATGGTTAAGCGTAGCAGGACATGAAAACCAGGACACTTTGTATTTCAGCCCCATTGCTTTGGGGTGATGAATGACAATTCAAAATATTTTTCTGGTCTTTCCCCAGAATAGCAGCAAATGTCTTTCTATATTGACTGGACAGTATGCATAATTCTGTGTCTTTGTGGTGTTAACCTGACAGTAGCAGATTCCCTCCCCTCCAACCCAATTCTGTGTTTCTTAATTATGCTGATCTTAGAGCCATTAGAGACTCAGCAGTTTGCTGCTCCATAAATAATGCACTCTGAGTGCCAGGCTGGAGGCTTGAGGCCCAGCTTTGCTGGGTATTTATAGTTCATGCCAGTAAATGTTTTGGTCAGATCCTTCAGGAGCGGTGGGCCTGATCGCTGTTCAAGTGGGTGGTGAGAGAATTGAATCAACGTTTTTTTTTAACTTCAGCAAAGGGCAGAGCACTGGTGAACTCCCGTGGCCCTGGTAACGTAGTGAATAGGGAGTAGGCCTGTGTGTGTGTGCGTTTGCTTTAACTGGTTAAATCTTCAGAGCAGGAGCTGATCTGTCAGCTGCAGCAGGGCTTTGCCAGCAGATGAAGAAAGCCTTTTGCCCATCTTAAAGTGCAGCGGAGATCAGCTGGGACTTGTGGGGGGCTGGCCTTTGCTGTGGTTTCACAGAAGATGCTCCAGAACTGCTTAGGAAGCACTTTCCACACAGGAATGTGGGTCGCCTCTGGCAGCAAGGCCTTTAATTAGACATGTGGTTCCCTGTGGCCTGCTGGTGACACTGCAGCTTCAGTTTCTCCATGTGACAAGGTGGGGAAGAGTGATGTCATGAAGACTCAGTGCGTCCACTGTGGACTTCTGCAGAGATCACTGGAAAGAGACCTGGTTCACATATGTTCTTCCCATGCAAGTTCACTGGTTTTACATTTCATTTTCCCTTTGGCTAGTGTAGAACCCATTCCAGGTGTGCACAGAGCTCCCCTCAGACTTTCCTGACTGTTCTCCTGCAGCCCTTTCCTGGCTTGGGTCTCTGGGATCAAAAACACAGGGCCCTTATATTTGCCCCTGTTTTTTTTTCCTTGCAGGAATTTCTTGTTGTAACAGCAAATGTTTCTCACTAGTATTAGAAAGTGTAAGGAAGTCCTCTGTTTTCATAGCCAGGGTTTAAAAGTTGTTTTTAAAGTTGACTTACAAGCTTTTAGTGTTAAATATCTATTGATGTTTTTTGCCAAAAGAAACATTGATTTTTTTCTCTCACTCTCTGTTTCAGGCCCTGCTTTCTTCCCCGGGCGATGTGCTGAGGTCTTTGCCAGGGGTCAAAGTATTGGGAAGCTTGGGGTCCTTCATCCTGATGTTATCACCAAATTTGAGCTGACCATGCCTTGCTCCTCCCTGGAAATCAATATTGAGCCCTTTTTGTGAAGATGGGCCTCTGTTGTGTAATTCATTCTCCAAGTATTCTTTTCTCCTTCCCTGGTGCCCTTCAGAGTCTCCACAGGGAGCATTGATTTGTGCTTTAATGTTTAATAAAGTAAAAAGCGCTGCCATGGGTGCTGCGTTAGGCCAGCTCATGCAATATCGAGTAAGTATCGAGTGCATATCTGTGTGATGCTGTGTTGGGCCCCTTGCAGAGCCAGAGCAATGTGCTGGAGGTACAATGTCAGTTCTGGAACCAGAAGTGCTGCTCAAACATTAGAGCTGCTCACTGTCACCCAGGACTCCTGCAAAATAGGATCCCATTTCTGCCTTACTGATGGAACAGTAGAGTGCATATTGAACACGTGAGATAACTAAGGGGCTTGGCTTTTACTTTCTCCATTTGACTTTTTCATCGTTGGGAAATAATCAAATAATTTTAGAAAACCTTTAAGGATCAATTATGGTCAAGCAGTTACAGTTTTGAAGTCATTTTATGTTTTTTGTTTATTTCTTTGCTCTCTGGTACTCTAAGAGTGCATGCAGCATTGAACTGTTCTGCTACAACAGCTAAAGTGAACAAGTACTGATATCAGGGCAATGTGAGCATTAGGAAACAATGACAGACATTTCTGTTTTAGGCCATTCATGTCACTATAACTAGTCAGTTATAAAATTGTGGTTTTAAATGCACGTACTAGTTTCTGTCTTACAGGACTGGATAAAATCTCTCCTCTGAAGCTGAGCTTCTGCGGTCCTCCCCATCTTACATCTTTATTTCCTGCTTTGATTTAGAATACATCTCTTTTAAAAAAGGAGCAGGGTCTAATGTTTGAGAGAAATTCTCAGTTACTATTGAGATGGTAAGAAGCATGATGAATGGAAAGGTTTAAAGTAAGTCCCAGTAGAAATCCTAACAAAGTTTGTGCAACAAGAATTATGCTTATAAGGCTTTTGCCGAGCCTGCTAAGAAAAAACTCAGCCATATTGCAGCCTGGAATCAGGGCACTGTTGTTTAATATAATAAGATTTGCAAACACACCAACTTCTACCCAACCCAGATTCTATTGTGAATAGAGCCTCACATTTTATTTGTTTGGGTGGCTTTTTTGTTGTTGTTTGGTTGGTTTTTGTTTTGTTTTTCTTTTTGATTCTGTTTTGAAATAGGGTACCACTCTGTAACAAGGCTGGCCTCAGACTCAAGATCCTCAGGCTGCCTCAACCTTTCAAGTGCTGGGATTCTATAATCTCACAACACTTTAAAACTGAAGTGAGATGTTCCTTTAAAAGTACTGCATGTCAAAGGGCTTGTATCCAGTGTGCATAAAGATTTCTTACAACTCAATAACAAGACAACCCTGTATTTTAGACAACGATAGAAGAACTGAACAAACATTTCCCCAAAGAAAATACATGAATGACCAATAAACACATAAAAAGATACTCAGCATCACTAATCATAGGGAGATACAGATTAAGAGCACAACTGAACTACTATATACTCGTTAACATGGTTAAAATTTTAAAAGACTGATCAAACCAAATGTGGGGAGACAAGTGGAACTGTGATGCAGCCACTTTGGAAAATACTTTGACAGTTTCTTCAAATGTGAAATGCTACCTTCCTTCCAATATCTATTACCTAAGTATATATGGTCAAACATTTTAATGTAAAATTTTAATGTAATGTTTGGTGTTATTTATAGTAGCTACAAATTGTATTTCCATTCTATGAAGTATTTCTTAGCAATAAAAAGGAATGAACTACTGGTAATCAACACAAATGAATCTCAGAGCATTATGGTAAGTGAAAGAAGCCAGGCACAATGACCACATGCTCTTCCACTTACACGAAATTATAGAAAAGTCAACAGCAGGTTGGTTGGTGAGAGTTCAAAGAATGGAATTGACTGCAAAATGTTGAGGCAGTGGAAGATTTCTGTCTTAATTGGGGTGGTAGTTATACTTCAGATGTGGACCATGCCTCAGTAAAGGTAGGAAAAAAGGAGTATGATGCAACATGGAGTATGTTAATAATTTCAACTCCACAGCATGTGATATATACGTGGGAAAATTGCGTGAATCTTAGATTCAGCATTTCTACTCACAATGCCTTGCTGGTCTACACTCTGAATGAGATAGTCTCCATTAGTTTCAGGTTGCACTATGGTTAAAATCATGGCTTGTGGATTATATGATGGAGTTGTTCAAGTTGGAACCACTTACTGTATTAGCAGCCAAACTGGGATATTTTTTTGGATGGCCAGAAATTACTTGTGATGAAAAAAAAAAAACCCACTAATTCCTAATTGTATATCCCAATGTGAAAGAGGAAAGATCAGCTGCACGTGTCATGTAGATGTTTCTGCTGTTTGGAGAGGAAGCAGTAGGAAGAAAAACAATACCCGCTGAGGTAGAAGAAGCAAACCTTACTTATGAGTGGAGCTTCCACAGACAGGTGAACATGCACTTGTCCAAGGTAAAGGGTCTCAGTTGAAACCTGGGCAGTCCACCAAAAGCCTTTGTTAGAGAAGATACAGCTTCTTAGTAAACACTGGCAGCTCTGGTATTAAAAGGAAGGTTAATTATAAAGGATCTTTTTCTTTCTTTAGTTCTTTTTTTTTTTTTTTTGTGATAGTAGTGTTTGAATTAGGGTCTTGCACTTTGCTAGGCAGGTACTCTACCACTTGAGCCATGCCCCTAGCCCTTAGGATTTTTTTTTTTTCTTTTTGGCAGTACTGGGGTTTTGAACTCAAGGCTTCGAGCTTGCTAGGCAATTGCTCAGCCACTTGAACCATGACCCCAGTGCTCTTTGCTTTAGTTTGTATTTCAGAAATACAAGTGTATTTCAGATAGGGTCTCTCTTTTGCCAGGGCCAGCCTCAGACCTCAGTCCCATCTCCTTCTCAGTAGCTGGGGATTATAGACTTGTACCATCCTGCTCATCCCTGGATTTTATTTTTAACTTACAGATAACTTCATTTTTATAGCCTGACATTCCTTCATTGCTCTTTTATTTATAATGTATTCTTACATCTGATCTAGTTTCAGATTATTATTTTTTTGGTTTAACAATCAGGAGATAGAGGGAGTTTTGTTTGTTTTTAACTGGAGTTGGAACTCAGCCTCATACTTGCTAAGCAGGTGCTCTACCATTTGAACTATGCCCCCAGTCCAGGAATTCTTGATTTATAGGCTGAAAACAGTTAAGCTTTAGAGGTGTCAATGACTTGCTTAAAAGTCACATGGGCAATGGATAGTTTGAGATACCCAATGAGAGTGACTTGCAATCCACAGCTCACCCAGTATTTTGTGTCATTTACCTATTTATCCAAAATGCTGAAAATTTACAAGTTTCTTTTAAATACAAAAGAATTGAAAAACAAAATGTTAAAAAAATCAGAAGCTCTCTAATTTAAAAAATTGTAAAAAGTAAGGCCCTCCCAAGCTAATCTACCTTTATTCTCCCTAATTCCTTAAGTTAACTAATGATTGTTCACGTCTTAGCTTGCATTGTTTCTGACACATTCCTTAGTTTGAACAGTCAGCCACACACACGTGCTCAACATTCTTCTGAGGCATGCTCTGCTTACTGGATGGCAACAAGTTCTGTTTTGTTGTGTGTAATCTATCATGGCAATTTTCTTAGCATGTCCCATTTTTGTAGGTTCGTACCCATAGTCCTACCTCACTGTTTTGGATGAGATAATAGCCTATTGTATGGCCATCCATAGTCTGCTCAACTGTCCCTCTGTTGATGGACATTCAGAATGTCCAACTCTGCAGCTACAGTATTCCAATGGAGTCGGGTTGCACTGGCTTACAGCCCAGGAAAAGCCAGTCCTGGGGCTGAACATGATTAAAGTGCATTATATGCATGTGTGAAAATGTCTTGATGAAATTCCTTACTGTGTGCAATTTAACATATGCCAAGAAGAGTAAAAAGGAAAACCCCGTCCTAATGGATGCAACTGTATAAACACCCACAGTTAGGGTCTGATACACACTAAGAGATGTATGAGGTTAATTAGATATTTCTTAAGTGTGACTTTTATACTTGAATAATATAATGCATATTCCAGTAGCTTACAATCCTTGATGTCAAATTGCCAGGTCAAAGGATGTTTTGAATTTAAAACATGTTGAGACTATTCTTAACATTTTAGACAGGGGTACCCTAACTGTTGCTCCTGTGCTCAGCAGTGAGGGGTGTCTTGAGTTTGTAAAAACCTTGCTCAATGTCTTGCTTCTCAATGCTAGCCTCTGTACTTGGTGGTTTGTATAAGCATCAACAACCCTAATGCATGGATATTGACTTTGGCTCTTCTGTCCATTTTATCCAAAAAGAGACAGGTGGCCTTAATGGGACAAAACTGCCTTAAAGCAAAATAGGGCCTAGTAGTGATTAAAACATTTGACCCATCTGATATCTCTCAAGTTCTGCCTTAATTGTATTAAGACCTTGAAAAAACTGTGTATTGTTTTGGACTGAATGTGTCCCCCCCCCCCCATACTCATGTGTTGTACCCTAAAGCAATGGTGTCTGGAGATGAGGCCTTTGGAGGTCATAGGGCTAGATGAAGTCACGAGGATGGCGACTTCCCAGAGAATTGCTTTCTCTAAAGTTACCCACCCTGTCCACACACACAGGAGGTCTTGTGAGCACACAACCAGATGGTGGCCACCAGCAGCCAGAAGAAGCCTCAAAAAGAAGGCAAGGGAGTGCTAGCACCTTGATTATGGACCTGTACCCTCCAAAACTGAGTAGTACATTTCCATGATTTAGACCACCCAGTCTATTATAGCCACCTGAGCAGGCTATGACATACTATTGAAAACTTGCATTAGAAATAAGCAGAGACTGTCATGCTTAATAACATTTAAGGCAGCAAGGCACCTCCAGGACAGTCTGAACAGCTCTCTAAGGCCTGACCAAAGTTGGTGAGAAGAACATGGCGTCCTTGGACAAAAAAGGAGAGGAGCCTAATGACCTGTGGGACAACCCAGACAACAAGAAGCAGATGCAAAGCAGATTTAGTCTCCACTGAAGTCTGCTCTGTGTCCAGGCATCCTGTTCTGCCTTGTCTTTCTAGTATGCAGAAGGGATGATTGAGCTGAATACCTCCAGCAAAGGATTCAGTGGATTGACGTCGGTCAAAGCCCCGTGTTCTTCCCACGTTACTGGCATGGCAGGAATACGCTCAAGACCCACTGCACCTTTTCACTCCTCATTTATCAGGTTTGTCCCTCACTGTTTCTGTTTAAGGAAGCCAGGGATGTGGCATGTTACAAAATGTAACAGCCCACCAGCATTAGGAGGTACTGGCGAGCTCGAGCTGCCGCAGAATTGAAGGTAGAGGACTTCAATGCTGTCTGGCCTTTATGACAGAAAAGTGCAGATGTAGAGAAAATGTGCCTTTTGACAACGAACTTGATAGCAAAGGAAACTTCCTTTCCACAGGGTTTTGTCACAAGGAATGAAAATATGCCTGGCCTCTAAAAAAAAAAGCAGCATCTCCTCCGGGCCGACAAGAAACCAGTTGTGATGGATGCAAGCCTAGTAGATGTCCTTATTGGTGCTGGAGAGAGAAAGAGTAAAGGCCTATGCAGGGATGGGTGGGATTAGAGCTCTCAACTGTGAGTCTGGACAGAACATTTAAACAAGGAATTCTTGGGGTGTCTACAAGGCAGCTGAAGCAAGATAAGCCAGACACAGAGGCGCCCCATAAACAAATTGTGCTGTAGGATGATCAGATTGGTGAGATGGCTTGTGTTGAGAAGACTCGTGAAAAACTCGGCACACCTGTCATGTGGAGGCCCCAGGCTGGGGTTTGTATTGGGGCATGGAAATTACTTTTTGATCTTTAAGATACTTCAACATCTTTTTTATCAGTACCTAATTAAGATGGCTTAAATGATGTGTGTTTAGTGTGTGCTGTGCATAGTTTGCCCCCCTCATAGCACCACCCATCTGGTTCCCATGTGACTGAAAAACTACAGACTGCAAGGCCAGGAGGCCTTGCTCCTCCCCAGGCTCTTGCATTGCAGGAACATGACTCCATCCTTGCAGGCGTGGGCACTAAGGCAGCACCCAATTGCCACCCTGTCTCACCCTCCATTGGAAGCCAGCATTGCGTGTGTTACAGAGCTCTCTTGCTTGTGCTTCAACCAGGGGGTCCCTGATGTCATAGCATGAGAGAAAGAGCATGGCGGGAAGATGTGCTTGAGTGAGTTAAGGAAGGGTTACAGGCGGAACTCCTAGCCGCATCCTTGCTTTTCTTGTTTGTTTTTGCATGCCATATAGACAGGCGTGGAAAAGGAAGAGGAATTTTTGGCTTCATATAGCTCCCTTGTCTCATGTGGCTACAGTTTTAAGAATTTAGAATTCTATTCATGGCCCACATTCAACTCTCGTTCTTAATGTGCGTCTGTAAGTATTCGAGTCTGTACTGCACTTTAAGAAAACAACGGATGTGTGGTGCGCCCAGAGTAATTTATTAAAGCCTTATGTTTACAGAAATGAATCTCCATATGATTTTTACACAGCAAACCCTTGGGTGCACTTAAAGTTTAAAAAACACAAGCAGCTTTGAGAAAACACGGATTGTCTAAAATGAGGTAAGTGTACCTCGCCATTCTGCTTGGTTCTGTGTAGCCGCTCCCTAGAGAACCAGGGCTTCCCTCACAAACATTAGACAGTGCAGGGTGGCTTTAGAGGTCCCCTAGAAAGCCAGGATGGGGATCAGATATTTTACAAGTGAACATTCCCAGGACTACTTTGGGGACCTGAACAAAGAAAACAAAGCAATACGATGAGTGCGAAGGAAGAGACCCAGTCCCGGCTGCCAGTCATCTCCCCCAGGGCAGAACTGGGAGACCTGGGGCTGAGATGTGGGAGCTGCTCATAGATGCAAAAGGGATGGTGCCCATAGCAGATTTACAGATTCAGATGAGGATGATAAATCACCTCTGGATGTCACCTGTTTCTTATATACAGTCACCAGCCATGTAAGCTTTGGTTTGTTTGGGGGAAGTATTTTTGACCAGCTGTTCCTTGGCTGTGGCGTGTCATCTTGTACCTATTCCCCATCCCATTCCTGGGCATATCCCGCCTGTTCTTCAAGCCTGACCCCTGCAATACTTCCTCTACAAAGCCTTCCTTGAATTTGTGGTCCTCAAGCAAGAATTAATCCCCCTCCTTCCTACAACCGTAACACCTCAGATCTTTGTGACTCACCAAGCCTGTGTCTTCTCTGTTCTGGGGACAACATGACAATATGGAAGCTTCCACAGGCTAGGTAGGGGGAGCACTACATTCCCATAGTGCCCAGCATGTTAGGAAGTATATCTTGCTCACAGGCAAAAGTCATAAGCTTGCCTTTGCCAACAAGTGTCAACTTCTTGTACCATGTCAGAGCAAACTGGAGTGCTTAAAGGCAGAACATATCATTGTAGTGGCATGAATTTGAATCAGAGAATGTTCATTTGGTTCTGCAGACAAGGTACTCATCTGTGAAAAACCTCTTAGTCGCCCTAACTACCAACACCTGTATCATTTATCTTCCATCACAGTGACATTTATCTTTACGCATGGTAAAAAGAAGCTTTGCACAGAGTAAAAAGGGGACTTAAGCACAATAGGGTACCATGTATTTCCTGTTAATCACGCCTGTAGCCATAGTGAAGGTCACCAATATTTGCATATGGTTGAATTAGGATAGCAAGAGAGAAATATATAGCTTGCCACTTATTCCCCTCTTTTCAACTCAGGTCCAATGAACTCAGAAAGATCTAGGTTAAATAATAATAAAAGAACAAGGAAACAGAACACTGGATTTTAAAGCATTTAATAAGAAGTCATAGTCAAACAAAAAAGGTTTTCTTTTTAAGAGAATAAAGTTACACATGGTACATAAGCAAGACAGCTGACGGCTTCCAAAATAGAAACCTGCAACACATGGTCCCGAAACTCCACAGCAGTGATTACACTTGGGAAACATGGTCAGGAAAATCCCAAGTTACAGTGACCCCACTGGGCAGGTTGTGGAGTGATTTTAGCCCCTGCTGTCAAAGAGTTTTTAGTTCAGAGTCTCATCCATGGCTTTTTTTTTTTTCCTGTGTTTTCTGTAACGGTGCAGGTTGAAGCAAATTATGCATGAAATTACAGCTGTTCAGAATGAAGGTAACAGGATGAACACCTTGGCCCCAAGAAGTAGTGGGTTGGGGCACAGTATGGAGACAGCCAGGAAAAGGGCTTATCACTTTGCCTTGGTTCCTGAGGGCATTGGTGTCAAGGTTGGCCAGGCCACCTATCCTGGGCTTACATTGGACACACTGCGCTGAGCCGAACTCTTAAATCTTAGTCCTCAAGACTCCACATTAAGAGAGGGGCTCTGGACTAAGACTGAAGCCAAGCCAGCAGGGGGCAGTCTTTCCCCAGAGAGAAAATCCAAATGTCTTGAAAGGAGACCCAAGGCAAACTCTAAAGAGCCTGCAGTGGTGTGTGGGAGGGTGTGAGAGAATTTACTAGAGTGAAGTGCTCTGTAAAGTAAATGGAAGAGGGTTGGCAAGGGTTGGCAAAGGCAGAGTTTGAATCAAGTAATGAAGCAGGAGACAGCAGAAGTCTCAGTGTGTGCCAGGTGCATCCACCTGTGATGAGGTGGTGACATGGGTCAGAAAAGTGTCCTAATGCAACTGGAATCCTGCAAAGCACATAAGCAAGGCAGAGCAGCAAACTGTTTCAATGTGAACACCTGAAGGAGACTAAGGCTCTTCACTGGAAAGCAGGCTCCTCCCCACGGCCTCATAGCCCTGCTACTGCTTTTAATCTCCTCTTAGAAAGCTTCATTTCCAGAGTGGTCTTACCTCCCATACAAGCACAGTTTAATTTGATCATAACACAAGGAATTCACACTGTTCAAGGAAGACAGTCTTTCCTCCCAGACCAAAGCTAGTGTTGGGGAAGGTAGTAACTGAAAAGAAACACTCCACCTCCATGTTGCCCTATGTCTGTTGGCTCTCCACAGCTCAGTGGGGCTTGAGGCCATTCCTAAGCCAGGCCACAACTCCTGCCCATCCAAGACTAGGTCCTAAGTCCTTCTAACAGAGAGGAGAGGGGTGTCCTTAAAGAGCTCATTTTCAATTATAGCATAACCCTTGTAAACTGGGCTGGAGCTGTTGCTCACATGGTAGAATGCCTGCTTCGCAAGCATGAAGCCCTGAGTTCAAACCCCAGTTCCACCAAAAAATAATAATAATAATCCTTGCAAACTAGTTATAACTTCAGCTGCACAGCAGTAGCACCTACTTACATCAGCAAAACAGGTGTATGACTTGGGATTTTTTTAAAAGAAACATGAGCTGTCAAGATTACCCACCCAATAACTTTCCTATTTATTGGCACTCATGTCCAGTTGACTGGTTTCCAACTGTTGGAGGTTCAGAGTAATCCCAAAAACCTGTGTAGCATTGGCACAAAGGTCGTAGCACAGATGCCAACCGATGTGTAAGTGACAAACTTGTAAGGCACTTCAATCTCCAGTCTCCGCCTGGCCTCCTTGTTCCTGGTGACCACTTTGAACCATGAGTATAATACTTGCAGCGAGAGATTTTGTACAAGCTGACGAACCAAGAGGATCAACACAATTCCCACCGTAAATTTGGTCAAACCCAAAACTATCAAGCTAGTGGTAAGTGGTGGGATGTTCTGAGCCACAGGGAGAGATGTGGCAGGCGTGGACACAAGCTGGAAGAAATGGTTGATCCAGAATCCGATGGTCACTCCAGCTCCGGCAGCCACAATGGTGGTGGTGTCTGCCCTGGTTGGGCTGTAGTAATCAGACATGGGGTAATTATAGCACAGGAAGAATGGCACGACTATGACGCACACGGGGAAAAGGGGGCTGGCGGAGTCCAGACAGTCGATGAGGGTCCAGGCAGGGTAGGTGAGGACAATAAGGAATGCGGTGATCAGGACACCGCCCAGCACATCCTGCAAGAAGGAGAGAAAACAATGGAGGCCAATGAATGCTTCCTTGCATTTGGAGCCAAATAAGGTTGATTTAATATTTAAAATGCAGTGTTGTATTGTTTTATTTCATAGTGCACGTACAAAGAAAATATAAAACTAAAAATTTGAAAAGAAAATGAGAAAAATGCACACAGAAATCATTCATGGTACATATTCCAGTTTTTTTCTGTGTTTTGGAATAAATTCTCTCTGAATGAATGGCTATAATCTCATGGTTCTTTAATTTCCCCTCCCCTCATATTTTTGAGACAGGATCCCACTAGCCCAGGCTGACCTGCAACTTAGGATCCTTCTGTCTTCCACCTTCTGAGTACTGGGATTACAGGTATGCACCACCAACCATGTTTGGCCTTTAATTTTAGTTTATTATATACATCTTAGAAGTACTTCAGTAGTTATAACATAAGTACTGTCATGGTCTTTACAGAGGTAGCACCGTGCTTTCTTGGCAGGCAGGGTTGGAGCTGTAGGCTGGGAGGAGGGAGGGAAGCTAGCTTCAGAGGGAGCCACGTTTGACACGGCCAGCACCGCATTGCTACTTAGAGGACGTGTGTGTTTGGGATGGTTGGAGAAGGTGGTTTGGATGTGGCAGTGTCAAAACTCCACCTTGCCACTCTTGGCACTGCCACTTTCTTCAGAGACAGTACTTCAAGCGGTGTGCATACAATTTCACTGAGTGTAAATACCATGCTTTTTATTTGATTGATCACATCCTTTAGAATATTTTAGACTGTACTTCTCCCTTCCTTTCGCTCCCTGCCTCCCTCCCTCCCTCTGTTCGTTTTTTCCTTTCTGGACTTGAACTCTGTGTAGCCAAGACTGGCCTTGAACAATTGTGGCTTTCTTTCTTCCCTTTCCTTCCCCCTTCTTTCCCTACTTAAAATATTGTCAACTCCTTGATGTGACACAGTTTCTTCTTCCTTTAGCTTTCTCACTGCAAAATTTATCAGAAGGCGAAATTCTCATGTAATTAATGGACCAATACGTTAAGTCAGATAAGGAAGTTTGCTATGGTTTTGTTACTTTTATGTGGGTTATTTTTAAAGTTTAAAATTGAAACACTTCAAAGATGTTCTTTAATGTGCTGAAAATCTGCAAAAGACACCAAAAAGTAACACACACGCATTGTAGACAGTCTGCAAAGTACAAGAAGAAAAGCAGATCTGTAGTCCCACCACCTAGAGTTAAATGCTGTCTATACTTTGTCATTTTTTCCTTCAACTCTTTTCATATGCAAGTGTATGTGATCCAGCTAATCCAATCTGAATGAATTATGAGGCTTTTAATTGTACACGCACACATATATACATACACACACATACACAAGAAATCTAAGGGTTGGTCTTTTTCCTAGTACCTTTATTCTGTATTTCTTTTGTTTAGTGTCTGTCAAAGTGGCATCTGATTTTGTAAACAGTGGGCGAGAATTAGATCTTAGGAATAATCACTGAGGCTGCAGCAAGCTTCACAGATCTCACCCTTCGTTTCCTCTGGTGACCATGGGTGAGAGCCTGCTGTATGCTAGAGGAGCCCATGTGAACTGAGTATGTAGAATCCCACATACAGGGCTGATGGTCTGAGGTAAGAAGGAAGGGTTTGGCCTATAGTTCTGTGTGCCATTTTCTTGGGATTGCAGAGGGGAGAGTAAACACAGGGAAGAGTCACCTCACACAGAGCCCTGAAGTCCAATCCACTTCATCAGGACTGCATCCTGGGAGCAGTGTGAAGCTTCAGTGGGGGGCGTGCAGTATGACTAGGTTTGCCCTCATGAAGGATTGCTCTGGCTGCAGTGAGGAGAATAGCTGAGGGAGGCGCAAGAGGCGATGGGGAGACTGCCTGCTTGTCAGGAAGTCTCCTGCCTCCTCATGGCCTTGAGCAGGCACTCCGGCTTCACTACTCTCCTTTCTTCTGTCATCCTTGTCATCAGTTATCACTTGGCCTTCCACAGTCCCCATGGTCTCCCTCCCCAACGTTCCTTTTTTGTTTTTTTTTTTTTTTTTTTGGTGGTGGGACTGGGATTTGAACTTTGGGCCTTCTGCTTTCTAGGCAGGCGTTACCACTTGAACTACACTTCCAGCCCTCAAGGTTCTTTCTTTTGCCATATGGATATGTGCTGATCTTGCCTTCATTTTGAAAAAAGGAAAAAATCTCACTTAAGCTTCCCGGTTATAGAATTAAGCATAATTTTTAAATTGACTTTTTTTTTTTCACCCATGTTGCCTCCAGTTTCTCCATTTGACATTCAGCTGCTGAACGAAACTCCTAGACTTAGATGGTACGCTAATCTCAAAGGCCGCTTCCTATACATTTGTTGGTTGTTTCTTCAGCATCTGTGTCTTCCACCCATGCATCATATTATCCTGTGGAGGAATCCATGAGGTTCTGGGAAATTGGAGCTGGAGCATGTGACATGGGTAGGCCAATCAATGTGCTTATCTCCCAGTCATACTCAATTTGCAGGGGTGGTCATGTGACCTAGCTAGTCCAATCACAACGAATTATGGGCTTTTATTTGTAGCTCTTGGAGAGCAAGGGTCTCTCTTTCTTTGAATACTGGGCCCTGTGGATTTTAATCCTTTACTTAGCAGCTCTTCAATATTCAGCTTTTATTAACTCTACCCTACACTACCCTGTTCTTCTGTGACCTCTAACAAGTCTCTCTTTTGGTTTGCTCCCTTACATCTTCCTTTTGCACACTTTAAAATGGCGTTTCTACAGATTCTGGCTTCAAGTCTTTCATGTTTTCTCTCTTGAGGTGTTTATGCAGGTCCATGGCTTCACCTCTCTGTTCTTTATCAGCATTACTTTCAAATCTTCACCTTTGAGTGTCTCTCTAAACTCAAGTTCTGTATTCTTAATTGATGCTAAACATTTTTATCTTGGTGACCCACTCGCCTGAAATAAAAATCCCAGGAGACTCCCCCACCTCCAGCATGAATAAAGGAAATGAACCATTTACAGGAAAGGAAATATAAATATTCCTCAGTATTTCTCTCAGACATTTAAAAATAAGCATATACTCATTCAGAATAAGACATGAAAATTACACTATAATGAGGAATTCAAACTAGTGTTCCCACAAAAACTGGTACACATGTAATTATAGGAGGCCCATTAATAGTCACCCCAAACTGTCGTTCAGTGGGTTCCTGGGAAGTGAGCTGTGGTGGATCATTTCTCAGCAATAAAGAGCAATAAATTATGGGTGTAGGCAAGTGTTTGAGGGACTCTCCAGGAACTGAGGCTAAATGGAAAAAGCCAAGCTCCAAGGGTTACACGCTGTGTGGTTCTATGATGTGCTCCAAATGATAAAACCACAGTGATAAGAGAACTCGTCAGTTGCCTAGGGGCTTAAGGACATTGCCTGTGACTACAAAGGATAGCATGAGGTGGCTGGGTTTGGGGGGAAGTGTGCAACTGTTTGGTACTGTGGTGGTGATTACAAGAATCTGTACAAGCCAGGTGAGGTGGGTTCATGCACTTGGGAGGCTGAGGCAGGGAAGGGTGACACCTGGCAAGGACCCCAGGACCCAGAGCAACAGCGCACCACCTACAGTAGGTGGCAGGGGTCAGTTGCTGCTCATATCAGATTGCTGCTGGGCCACAAGGAATGGGCAAGACAAAGATACCCAAGGCCACAGCCTCACAGAAAGTAAGGGGCCCAGCAAAACCACCCCAACACCAGGGGGTAAGGCAGAGAAATGTGCCACAGAATGGCTCATGAGCACACGTGAGACTCACTTAGAAAACACCAGAAGTATTTGTGTGTGGGTTTCTGCTAGGGTAGGGTTAAAGCAGTTTGGCAGAGGACAAGAGGCTCGAGTGGTCCTGTAAATGCCCAGAGAACTCACTGTGTGTGCTCTGATGATGGGCTGAGTCTAATGGGCACAGCAGTTCAGTCCTCGTGGTGGCACCATCTTGCGCCTGCCTCTCCCCACCTGTAACCCCAGGGATATATTTCACAGCCTGCTCCATCATCCTTAAGCCCCCTTCATCTGCCATCATCCCCAAATGCCCAGAGTCCAGAAATTCATTTTACCCACGCCTGCCACTGTCCTTCCCAAAAGCATTCATTAGTGGCCTTCCTGATGGCTGCTTCAATAGCAAATGTTCTCTGACCTTGTTGGGTATTGGAATCACCATGGGAAATTGTTCAAATGCAGATTCAGTGGACTGCACCCCCTGGTTCTAATCCAGAGTGAAGCCCAGGACTCTCTATTTTTAACCCCCCAAAGTAACCCAGATGCAACGAATCTAAGCAGAAAACCCAGAAATACTAGTCTAGTGGTTGGTAGCCAGTCCTCTGTGCTCTGGGTCTAATTAACCTGTCATTCTGGGAGTTTTCCTACTGCCTTCCCACTTGAAGTTTCCACTCCACTAAGAGGTCTACCTGTTTCCCCAAACATGCCTAGTACAGTTTTGTTGTGCTAGGGATTGAACCCAGGGCCTTGTGCATGCTGGGCAAGCGCTCCAGTCCCTGGTATCATTTTATTATCATAATTCTGCATTCTTTTTAGGTCCAGCACACTTTAGCCACCTCTGCCTGCCAGGTTCCTATCATTTCCTCTGTAAGGCCCAGCTCAAAAACAACTTCCTTCTAAAACAACTTCCCATGTCTCCACAGTGGGAAACAATCTCTCTCTTGTCTTCCTCCCCTTCTCCCTGAACCAAATATGAAGACACTGCTTTGACGTCACCCTCCCCTTATTTTGCCTTTTGCTATAGTTAACGTGGCTGGATGCTTTCTCCTGAGCCAATTAGAAATTGTGTCTGACCAGCAGGCCAGGGGCACTTACATCTTTGCATCACTCCTCAAAGCTGGTCTAGTGGCTAACACTTAGCAGACATCAGTTACAGTATCAGGACAGTGTCATACCTTTCTCTTATCTGGAATGCCAATATTTGGTGCCCAGTGTTTCAGTATATAAATGACGTTTTGCCCTCTTTCCCTTGCTCTGCCTTTGTAATTGCACTTACCACAGTTACTGACATGTGGTTGGAATATTCGCTAAACTAATTCTGTTCATCTTTACTTCACCAGGAGACTAGACTATTTTGGTCCACAGCCCCAGTATTGAGGCAAAACTAATTTTAGTCAACATGGATGCTGGTGTCACTTTTTTCTTTTCCCTTCTAACCACACACATGGATTTTCATCCATAAAAGGTGATATTGTAATAAAGATATTTAGGTATTTTGTGAGAAAAATATTTGAACCGTAGCTAATAAGATTTCCAATTTGGGGGCTCTAAATTTTTTTATAACAAAATTATTCTAAAAGGCAGAATGGGGATGATTCTGTCCTAAACAGGTGGCCTTGGAGGATGGAGAGTGGAGAGAAGAGGGAGACTAGGGCACATGGCTTATAAGGAGATATGAAACACATGTAAGAAAAAAAAAAGAAAAGGTAAAATAAAATGGTGCAAAAAGCAGGATAAGGGAAAGATAGGAGGGCAAAAGTCACAAAATAAATATCCTTTACTCTGCAAAAAAACAATTTTAAATCTACTTCCCATAGAAGAAGAAAATTAAGCTACAAGTATATAGTTAGACTCAGTAATTCCACTCCTAGGAATTTATTCTAAGAAAATAAAGAAGATAAAGTGCTTACACAGATTTACATGCAGGGAAGATGCTTGTTGGTTATTTCAACTCATTTCAGTGAGCTCCAAAAGTAACACATGGCTCCACTACAGAAAATCCAGAAAATGCATGCAAGCAAAAATAGCACAAAGAATGGAATATGCACCATAGTAAGAATCTGAAAAGATATAAATCAAGCAAACAGATAAAAAATACATACTGTTTTCTTATCTAGAAATATATCAGGAACATTTTCTATTTGAAAAGATACATTCCTGCTACCTCATGATGGGGGGGGGTGTCCCAATGTAACCGTGAGATGTACTGGGTACAATACAAAGACTGATCCTAATTTTATATAAATATCCATTTGTATGCATGGATAAGACATCAGAAGGAAATAAAAACATTGAGGGTAGTTTTTCTATGTGGGAATATTACAGGCTACTACTATATTCTCCACACTTTGTTGGCTCATGCAGTATTTTCTAAATGTCCTACAGTCAATACCTATTATTTTTATTATAATAAAAATGCTGTCAAATTATTCACAATTGCCAAGCTCTGGAATCAGCTTAGGTGCCTGTCAGCAGACTCATGGATAAGAAAATATAGTTATATATACACACGGAATATTATTCAGTCATAAAGAAGAACAGAATCACATCATTTGCAGGGAAATGGATGGAACTAGAGACTGTTATATTAAGCAAGATAAGCCAGATGCAGAAAGACAAGTATCACATATTTTCTCTTACATGTGGAAGCTAGAAGGAAAAAAAAAAAAAAAAAGACAAACTCAAACTCAAAGTAGTAGAACTACTAGGGAGTGGTGTAAGGGGACCGGGGAAGGGAGGACTGGGAAGTTGGGAGTATGTGTATAAATATTCAGCAATGGAACCCACTAATATGCACACCTAATGTTCATTAACAATTATAATAAAAAGTTAATGCCATTAAGGTGAAAAAACTCAGGATATTAAAATCAGAAAGTTTTACAATAGACTGAAGTAGAAATAATTAACTAATACTTGTAATTTTTGCATCATGTCAAGAAGAATTGAAATTCCTGGAAGAATGCACATGAAGAGCAACAGGCATCGCTTCTAGATCTAGGCAGCAATAAAAGTAAAGGCGTTGAGATGGCCCGCCTGCTGTACCCCAAGGTCTCATTGTTTGAAAGATAATCAACCTTTAATTCAGTCTGTTAGCCAAGGTTTAAATACAGCCCGCCAAAGTACTTCCAAAAAACTCATTACATGAAACTAGCACTTTCCAAAGTTCAGAGGCAAAGCATTTTAAACCCCTGTGACTGTCATACCTATTCTCATTGGCAGTGAGAAAACTTGGTACTGTGATAAAAGCTTGAGCC